TATGTTGTTTCGTTCATATAAATTTCAAATTACATAATGTTTGGACCTATCCTAAATCCAGAATTTAATTTTTTACTCAAGGATGCAAGTGTACCAAGCAACCCCGTATTTGGGGATGGTTGGTACATACCTTATGGTTGGTTGGTTGGTTGGTTAAGGCAAAAACTGAGAAAATGATTGTTGTTTTCATTTCTTTCTGTAAGAATCAGCCTGCAAAAAAATTATAATACAAAAAAATCGGTATCTATCCGTTAATAAAGTGAATAATCTTGTCAGAACCATCCGAATCACAATTATGACAAACGTAGAACAAGCCCGTATCCGCGCATTTTTCATGTATCCACAATTTGCATTGGGTGCACTGAATTAATTTCTCGTTAGGCAAACTATTTGACCAGGGTTCAACGCAAAGCAGGTAGAAGATTTCTTCATCACTGCTTGAATCGTCTTCAATTTTTGAATTCTTCGCATTTGCTTGTTTTTTTGTGTTGTTTTTGGTTATGCCTAAGACCTGTTTTTTTATCGATCTCGTTTTATTTTCTTTTTTCTTTTTTTCTTCTAATAATGCATCTTTAATGGGCGTATCTGTCAAGATTTCAGATTTTCTTTTTATGCGACCCCGTTGCACTTTTCATTCTGTGGCTTTTAGAAACGGCTTCAAATTTTCGAGATCTGTAAAACTACATGTTGCTATATTGTTAGATGACTGGAGACACTGAGAATTCTGAGGCGTGGGCGTCTTATTTTCTACAATTCTGCTTGGTCCAGCTTGTTGCACGTCTTCGTTGGGATTAGTCTCTCAGTCTGGCAAGGGATTGTCGACACGGTTTAGAGTCTCTTCGATGGATGTAATTTGACCAAGTTCAGGTAGATTTGCTTTAACTCCCAATACTTCATCAGGATTTACGTTTTGCTCAATATCTTGCAAATCTTGTTCAGGATCTGGTCTATCTGTAACATAAGCAGCCATAAATTCACTGTCCGGAAAAATATCCCTATTTAATGGATAAATTCTGGAAACCTGGAATCCAGCTGTAATGTTGTTTGGAGTTGCCGCTAATGGTAGTGCAGTACAAACAATACTGGTTATGTCATAAATGGTCATGGTTGAACCCGGACGATTAGTCATCCAATAATCACAAGCACTATTGACATACTTCTTTAACGCTTTGATCTTTGCAGATGTTTAGTGCTTCGGGAGAAAAATGCGAATCGTGGTTGTCTATCAAAAGCAGGAGAAGGCTTTCTCTAGACGCCTTGGAGTACTGAATAGAATGCTGGATATATTGTATAAAATGAATTTCTTTCATCCAGCCTGATAGATTGGCATTTCCATCGCTTCCAGGCGGGGCATCTCTGAGAAAATGGGGCTTGAAATGAACACGAGGAAATATGAAGAAAGGTGGCATAGTATTTCCAGCAGCAGAAACAGCACACGCCAAAGTTACAAGCGTACCGCGTTCTGATGAAGTAACTCTTCCCACTTGTTTGACACCACGTCTACCCACAATTCGGTCAGATCTCTGAACTGTAGTAATCCCTGTTTCGTCCATATTCCAGATGTCCACAGGACTAAAGTTATACGTTCTAATAACAGTTTCTAGATTGCTGAAAAATCTGTCTACATTTGTTTCATTGAAGCTCGTAGCTCTAGATAAACTGGTGGCTTCAGGTGTCCTGATAGCCAATCCAGCATTTCGCTTTAAAAATGATGTAAACCAGTCGGGGCCTTCAATCTTATTTTTCTTTCAGCTATTTGGAACCGTCAGGTGCAAAGAAGTTGCATATAAATAAGCTAATCTTTTCACTTCTTTGGGCGTAAGACCATAGTAAATATTGGCATTTTTTTTATTTAATCTGTGAGATTGGACTCTTGAAGCTCGGTGAAAATCTAAAACCAAAAATTTAACTAGAAACTAGATCATCAAGTATATTTACTCTTTCAGTTGTATTGCCAATTGCATATGCAGAAAATTCCTACACTGACGCTTGTCAGATATAATCCAACGCCCTTCGTGGTATTAGCCAGGGGAGTAGTTGTTTTATGATAGGCGTCAGTCCATTCAACCTACTGTGTAGGTATATCGAGACTGGCTTCAACATTTAACGTTCATTTGCTTACATTTGTTTATTGCCAGTCTTCAATCATAGCCCACTGACTAATAAGAAAGTGTTTATTCCTTATTCAAAGGAATTGGGCAAATTACGGATATGCAGTTGGTTAGTACCTCGTCCACTAGATGGAGTGACATTTTGAGATGTTCGCCCCAACTTCGGAAGAGGAATGAAATACTCTGAAAGAATTCCGATTTTCAATTATGGAATATCTTTGACTTTAGGTGGTCAATATCTTGCACTGACTAGTGGCTAATGAGCCCGAAACCGGTCTGCAATTGTGCCCGTTCCAAAATTGAAAGTCGACTCTTTCAGTGGTCTTGCATATGCAAAAAATTGTCTGCGAAGATTCCTGCACTGACGCCTGTCGGATATAATCCAACGTCCTTCGTGGTATTGACCAGGGGAGTAGTTGTGTTCTGATAGGCGTCAGTCCATTCAACCTACTGTGTATGTATATCGAGACTGGCTTGAACGTTTAAAGTTCATTTCTTTAGATTTGTTTATTGCCAGTCTTCCAGCATAGCCCACTGACTAATAAGAAAATATAAATTATCTCCTGGGCTGTGCAGATGAATAAGTAATCATAGTCTGGGTCAAATTTTTTAAAAGCGGATTCAGATCTAAATTCCGCAAAGGGTAGTCTGTGAAATTTGAGGGGGTAATTTTTAAGGGGAATACTTCATATATGAAAGTATGTGCATGTATATATTACAATACTTGATTGAAATGTAGTGAATGCATAAAATCAAACTCTGTTCTCCAACACTCGAACTGCAACACTATTCTTGACGCGCATTTCACCAAACATATTGGCGTCTTCAGATGATGAATTGCACTCATTAGTAACTCTGAGACTAGTCTGTATTCATATCCATCAGGATAATCATTGTGAGAGAATTGATGATTCACTCGGAATCGGTCCCTATAATGAATCACCAAGGAATCCATTGCTGAAGATGATTTCAGGAGTAAAAATATTCTCGAAAAGTGTCAAAATTTTTACGTTTGAGCCGCCCAACCTTGAATTCATTATTGCGAGATGAAAGGATTTCAGTAGCATTTGATGTATCTTCGTTTCCAAGTTTTCCTATACGAAAAACCATTGAATATTCAAGGAATCTTTTAAGGGTTGATCGTCTCCATGGAGAAGTAATCGAAGAGCACATACCACTAACAATAATATGTAAGAAACATAATTGATTTCAGTTTGACAACTGTTCCTGAAGGCAGCATGAAGGCACGACAATGAAAAACCCACTCTCCTCTTCGAACACAAATCTGTTCATAAGCAGATTTGAATTGTAAGCGATAGAGGCGTTATATTAGTTCCCTATGAGTTGCATCCGATTTGGGGCTGATGTATTCACGAATTTTGACACAAAAAATCTTATGTAAAGGACTTTGTTCCAACTCCCTGAACATTGGGTTTATACACTGAAGACGTAAAAAGTCCTCCCCCAATAACTTTGGTATAAAAATATTGTGGTCACGTGGCCTAGTGTCTACAGGGCACCATCAACTTTTTTTTAATGTAAATGGAGATCACGTGGCTGCTGGTTTTGAAGGCCTTTTGATTCTCTATCCAACATAGCTGTGATTGTGAAAATCAGCGAAGCTGCTTCATTCTGACAAGCGATTGAAATTCGCTTCAAATATTTAACAAACGAATTATTTCAACTATTAATTTCAACAGATTTCAACTCCGTTACTGATTCTGGTTAAAACATGTTTTTTTTTGTGGTAAAACAGGTGCGCATATTATTGGTATTTTAAAATGTGGTTTTTATACAGTTTTCTACACATTAGTTACTTTGCTGGAGACTCCAAATAGCGATTCATTTCAATGTCAGTCTGATATTGATGTAAATCATATCGATACTTCAAACAGTTTTCATAGGTTTCAGCTTCTCTTTATAATTTTCAAATGACTCGTCCCCATCCTATTGAAGAAAAACCGAAGCAATTTCAATTCACGCTGAAGCTAGAAGTTTCATAAAAACATCAAATCGACTTTCTGACAGCTGTTGTTAATAATCCGTAACAAACAACAAAAACGGTAGCCACGGATTGTGGCGTATTTACGACCACTGTGCAAAAATATCTTTGAAAACATAAATTTCACTCATTTAAAATAAAAATACTGCATCAATTAACAGAATACGATCCGGATAGTTTCTGAGGTCATGTCTGACCGCATAACCCAAAATCCCGGNGTTGGTATATGGTTAACTCCAGCAGATTTGGTTTGGATTAAATTTTTTTACAGCTAGTCGAAGGTCCTGTATATAGTATATAGACAAGGAGTTGCCAGAAGACTTGCCAGAAGCTGAATAAGGGAATAAGGCCAGATCTTTGTATATAGACATACTGTAGCGTGTAGTCTACTTGTATTTTTCGATTGAGGCATAATAATAACACTCTTTTTTATACTCAAGTGTGTCTGTTACTCACCTTCGATACCAATAATTAATGGTTTGACTTGATTTCTATAATAATTAAAAAAAAAAATTTAATACACTCATTTATTGCAGAAATAAACAGCAAGATATCTGAATACTTTCATTGCTCATTTTGAGTGGTTAAATATTAATTGCAATTTTCTCTCTGCTGTGAAATCATCAAAAACCATTTTTGTATATGTCATTCTGAATCCAATGGATTAACGCTCATATTTGATGAAGATATTCAACACGAATTTCAATTTGTGTATTAGACTAGTATGATCAAATAAGGTAATGTTGTTATTCGTCTCTGAAGTAATTTCGAGATGATTTGTATTATTTCCATATTTGATCTGATATACTTCAATATATTCTGAAATGCTTGCGTGGAAAGATTATCTCTGAATCGTTTCATTGGCCAGACGGAGCTATAAAATATCTAGTACCTGAGGCACAGTTCAACCCTGAGGTAATTGTTGTACAATTGCATCATCAGATCTGTCATTTGACTCTCTTTTTTATACTTCAGAATAATTTGGGGCGTTTAAATATGTTGTGGTTTCTATTTACTTTGTCAGCATTGTTTGTTACTGGAAATTATGTGAGTAGTTTTGAAATATCATTGTCATTTCGTGAATAATATTTCCGAATGTGAGTTAGGCTTGATTGTAATATACAATTCAGAAATGTATGTGGTCGTGTATTGACTTTAGCCTAAAGTAGATTATATGTTAGAAATCGAACGTCAAGAAATAACTTCTTGGTTACTGCTGGCTCTTAATTTTTGAGTGGTGTCGTTTATATGGGGGCACATTTCAACTCAGCTATAAACAACAGAGGAATATATGTTTTGGAAGTAGTGGGCTGGACTGGAAAAAAAATATTTGAAAATTTTTGGATACAGTCAACAATTTGTTCAATTTGATTATATTTTCAATCATGGTTGATCTGCTGCTTTCTTGTGATGGAATATTTTGCGACTGTGGATTTTCATTGAACCAGGATGAAAATGGATTTTTAACATCTGCTTGAAAGCCAGGTTTTTTTTTATTAGACGCAGTTTTTAACATTTCGTTGTTTCAGGCAAACACTGTGAACGTATCGGTATACTATGAGGGCCTCTGCCCATTTTCCGTACAGTTTTTCAAAGAACAGTTCAATCCATCTTACGACGAACTTGAATCCATCATGAACCTCGACTTGGTACCTTTTGGAAAGGCAAATGTGAGTAAACACTTGTTCACTATATCATAATGATTTTTCTATAATCATAATATAGCCCACAATTGAACTAATAATAATAACCTTCGACAAAATTCACTCAGTCAAGAAAATGTTCATAATCATCGATTGTAACCGACACCAGAAAACAAAAATGCGACTTCATTGTTGAAAGTCATTCACTATATAAATCAAAGCAACACAATCACAATCTTTTTCATCACGTATATCACATCTATTTGTGAGACCGTTTGAATTTATTTTGTCACCCGATAATTCAAATTTTAATAACTGCCAAAATATCAGTTTGAATTGTATGATGTAAAAGGGCAATATAATGTGTCCATACAGAACTTTTCTATACACATACAAAGAAGAACCAATATGCAATGGATTGTTTTGTTTCATCTCAAAAGGTTCAGTCTGCGTTTTCAATGAAAGTTATTATTTGAAACTTTGAAATTGGTGCACTGAACCACCACTGATGCACATCCGACTCAACTCCTCATGCATGATGATGTCATATATCAATGAATTCACATGAAACACTTATAAATCATACACGTAAACCTTTCTCTTAGATCACACCATTCAGTGGTGGAAACCGTATGAAAATCCATTCAGCAGAGACAGCCAGACAGATATACAGACGTGGCGGGAAGGGGGAAGACATTTCATTTTATATTTAATGAACATTTTTTTGGATCACTATAATGCCCCACGGTACAATAGAATGACGTAATGTTTACACTCGCTCATCTTCACTAATGTATACAAATCAACGAACATTATTGAAAGAAGATCAATGAGCAGAAACACAGAACACAGTGTGTTATTTGGACTAGCTAGGCTGTGTAACTGAATTCACTCAGAGTTCTCTGAATCTTTCATAAACGTATTTAGGGGTACTCAGAGTATTACTTAGCAACTGTTTCTCAATCATGTGATCATTCACTGCTACATTGTGTATACTCGCCTCAGGTATGTTTATGAACGCAACCCCAAACGCAATCACAAAGCCAGTCTCCAAGTATGCCTACTCATTTTTTGAAGTTTTTATATAATGGAATTGGCCAATTTTTGATTGAAATTCATTGCTAACGTATTCAAAAAACACTTTACTGTTTACAGTAGAGACACGCCTGAAAAAGCCATTGTGTGGCGAAACACGTGTTGCGTTTTTGTAAAATTGTTTAGTGAAAATCTCACAACAAAGTGTTTTATCAATAAACGAAGTATTCATTTTTGAAGTGGGGCGAAAGAGGTATGAGTATTATGAGTATGAAGTCGTTTTTCTATTTTTGAACAATTTTCAAAAATGGTTGCTTCAACGTTATTTGATCTTCGAAATTATTAATCCCAGTCGATAGATTATACTCTCCTGAAAATTGAATATTTGTTTATAAGCGCTCCAGATCGGCGATTCACCAAAAAATAGGAAGAAAATGGCAGAATTACTTCAAAGTGAAAGTTCATTCGATGAATTCAGGTAAAATTTATTTTAAAAATTTGGAAATTGGGTGGTTCAATTTTAGTTCCTTGAAAGTCGATTCTAGTTTGTGTTAAAATTATTTAGAATACTCAGAAGCAAGAAAATCTTTTTGTAGTACGTTGAAACATAAATTTCAATGAAAAACGTGTTATTCTTGTCATATTATATGTCAATCGGTAAATTTTCGTTATCTGGACACCCGGCGATTTTGAAAAAATTTTTGACTGTACTTACGTATTTTGATGCGTAGATTACGAAAAAAGCGGCGCTCTCCCTTATTTAAAAAGTTATGGCCCTTCAAAGTTCAGAAAAGGGCAACTTTTCAGCCTTCTTTTTCATTAAATAAACTATTTAAAAACACAAGCATTTATTCACTAGGTCACCTTTACACCTTAAATAACAAACATAGGAGTATAGGTGGTTTAACAATAAAGCGATGTATCGCCTTCTCGAAAGCAAGACCACTTTCAAATCTGCCTAGCACCGAATTTTCGAAGAGCAGATTCATAATCTGCATGAAACAATAAAACAAATTCATTTGAGCCGGTCGCAAACACGTAAGCTCAAATATTGATTCACCAAACTGGGGGCGAAAAACCCCGCACGAGTGAATCTAATATATCGTCATGTGCAGTTGACTTCATATGCCAGGGTCATTGCTGTTATCAAGGAAAAATTATGGCCATAGAGGATATTCCAGAAGCTGATCCACGGGTACGACTGCAGAGCTACACTTTATGGCCTGCATAACATCAAGAGAATCAGAAGAGGGTCTCCTGGCGGTGGGGTGTGTCCACCGCAGCCACTGAAAAGCGCCTTACTGAAATGAGTCACAAAAAACCTACGTTACAAGTCACAAATTCATGCTGCTCACCAACCTGACGAAGGTAATGGCAGATTGACAGTCAATCAGATCCTCACTAGATTGAGGAAAATGTACGTTGATTTGTCAATCTATGTGCCAGTTTGGTCGCGTATGGGATCAGGTATTCAGTATTCGACAGTTTTTTATCGACTTGTAATATCACTCACCACTGAATAAATAAATTGCCTTCGTTGAACAGCTGGTTTTATTCAGCTGATTTTGAATAGGTTTAAGTCATAATAAACCTTCCATAAATCGTGAAAGGATGATGGACGGAAAAACCTCCTATTAGAAAATAATTGTTGACGAAAATATTTTTTTCTATACTTACCGGGTTTCAATGCACATTATGAAGTGACGGACAGAATCAAATGCATCTTTTTGTGATTTTCAGTTCCTCCAATTTCAGCTCAATTTACGTGTTGATGTCAGTTTATGTTACTTGAATGGATAAGAAGGATTCTTTTTTGATGAACAATCATTAGTATTTTGTCTTTTTGTTGAAAAGTGGGGATCCTTTCGGGTTTTTCTTGCCTTGGTTATGATGGCAGTTGTCAAATTAATCATACAATGAACTCTTTTCTACCAATACATCGTCCACTGTCTTCATCTAAAATACATGATCTATGAAATTTCGCATAAAACCTCATTCCTCTGGGTTTATGTATTATTGAGCTACTGCTGGCTATGGTAGTACTACGAAAAGCTATATTGTCTGTCTGATATATCAGTTGGTAATAGGAATGATTGTCGTCAATATCTGCCACCAACGTGAGGAATATGTCATGCAGGAACTGTTTCAATGAAACAGTTCCTGCATGAATGGTTCGTAAAAAATCAGTAGCAGATACCGAATCAACATTCTGTGGAGATCTGAATCACACGTTTTTTCAACAGAAAAGAATACCATTCAGGCCCAGATACATTAACTCTGAACTGAAATGAAGAGTAATTGTTCCTTTTCTTCTATACCTAGTTTCATGAGTACGATATTTTGCTTGTTTGAAGTGAAAACCATGAAAGATGGGTAGATCTGTATCCTGTCAAAAAAATAACATTTGAATTTTCTGACTTATCAATAGCAGTTCTTTTGACAATCAGGTTATATCAGTTGTGTGTTTGGTTATGATCCCATTATTTCCGAATTATGTTATAAGAATGACTATAAATTTGATCTCTTTTTGCTGGTTGAGATGAAGTGTTCTTGTTTCATAGTAATTGGTTTCTGAAAATTTAAAAAGGAACTTGATGTCAACAAAGTTCTCAAATCGATTCAAATCCATATGAAACAAAGTACTATTTTGAATCGGTTTGAAGTTCTGGCAATGTAACCACCTGTTACATCCGTTAGTCCCTTCAGACATACACACCGATTCTAAGTATGACATTACTGAAAATAAATACCTCTGTCTGTACCTGACTTCTCATTTTACGTTGATCACTATGAAAAACAACTCTATGACTTAACGAAAGAAGATGAGCACTTGTTGACGTCAACTTGTATACTCAACCGTAACATAAATGAAAATAACGAATACGTACACTATGGATTTTAAATAAACTGTAGTCTGCTCAGAGAAATCCCGGATCTGTGAAAATAGAAATTTTAAATAATTGGTATGTTACAATCTACAATTGAAAATAGGCAAAAAGGTTTCTTTTGTGGTCAGATTCTCTCGCAAACAATATAAAATTAAAAGTGGTAAAATGGAATAGTACACGTTTTACAAACTGAATAAACAGATCACACCGTTGCTATTAAGATAATACAAAATAAAAAAGACAAATCAGCTTTGTCATTTATGCTCAAAAGGCGATTCAAGATCAATCTAAATGAATTTTGTATTCAAAATGAACAGTACACCATTCGATTTTTTTTCACATATTAGACGCAAAATGTTTTACTTTACAAAAACCGTAATTATTGTTATTCAATTCATATGGAATATTTTTTAGATCACGGAGGAAGATGGAAAATTGAGTTTCACATGTCAACATGGGCCGGCTGAGTGTTACGGAAGTAAGGTACATTCTTGTGCTCTAGATTTGGCCCAAGGAGATCAAGGAATAAGATTCGTAATGTGTTCGATGGCATCTCCGGATGCTACTGCTGACGAATTTTCGAAAAAGGTAATAAATAGCATGTCATATAATTGAATATTTCTTGTTAAACATGTTCCGAAACTATAAACCAATTTATTAACCATCTGTCTCAGTGAATTATTTTTCACTATCAAGAGAATATAAGGAACATTTGAATATTTCAATATCTTCCTATAGTTTCGAAATCAAAGAATGATTTGAGTCTGTGAATAAATTCATCATGAACAGTAATTATTTTGAATTCAAAGTATTCAAAAATTATATGTCGATATTGTTGATGAGTTACTGGTCTTCTGTATATAAATTATCTAAATCTAAAGAAATTAACTTTAAACGTTCAAGCCAGTCTCGATATACCTACACAGTAGGTTGAATGGACTGACGCTTATCAGAAAACAACTACTTACTTGGCTAATACCACGAAGGGCATGGGATTATATCCGACAGGCGTCTTGCACTGACGAGGGGCTAATGAGCCCAAAACCAGTCTGCAAGGGAGCCCGTTCCAAAATTGAAGGTCGACTCTTTCAGTTGTATTGCCAATTGCATATGCAGAAAATTCCTACACTGACGCTTGTCAGATATAATCCAACGCCCTTCGTGGTATTAGCCAGGGGGTAGTTGTTTTATGATATGCGTCAGTCCATTCAACCTACTCTGTAGGTATATCGAGACTGGCTTGAACATTTAAAGTTCATTTGATTCACTCGGAATCGGTCCCTATAATGAATCACCAAGAAATCCATTGCTGAAGATGATTTCAGGAGTAAAAATTATTCTCGAAAAGTGTCAAAATTTTTACGTTTGAGCCGCCCAACCGTGAATTCATTATTGCGAGATGAAAGGATTTCAGTAGCATTTGATGTATCTTCGTTTCCAAGTTTTCCTATACGAAAAACCATTGAATATTTAAGGAATCTTCTAAGGGTTGATCGTCTCCATGGAGAAGTGATCGAAGAGCACATACCACTAACGAAAATATGTAAGAAACAGAATTGATTTCAGTTTGACAACTGTTCCTGAAGGCAGCATGAAGGCACGACAATGAAAAACCCACTCTCCTCTTCGAACACAAATCTGTTCATAAGCAGATTTGAATTGTAAGCGATAGAGGCGTTATATTAGTTCCCTATGAGTTGCATCCGATTTGGGGCTGATGTATTCACGAATTTTGACACAAAAAATCTTATGTAAAGGACTTTGTTCCAACTCCCTGAACATTGGGTTTATACACTGAAGACGTAAAAAGTCCTCCCCCAATAACTTTGGTATAAAAATATTGTGGTCACGTGGCCTAGTGTCTACAGGGCACCATCAACTTTTTTTTAATGTAAATGGAGATCACGTGGCTGCTGGTTTTGAAGGCCTTTTGATTCTCTATCCAACATAGCTGTGATTGTGAAAATCAGCGAAGCTGCTTCATTCTGACAAGCGATTGAAATTCGCTTCAAATATTTAACAAACGAATTATTTCAACTATTAATTTCAACAGATTTCAACTCCGTTACTGATTCTGGTTAAAACATGTTTTTTTTTGTGGTAAAACAGGTGCGCATATTATTGGTATTTTAAAATGTGGTTTTTATACAGTTTTCTACACATTAGTTACTTTGCTGGAGACTCCAAATAGCGATTCATTTCAATGTCAGTCTGATATTGATGTAAATCATATACTTCAAACAGTTTTCATAGGTTTCAGCTTCTCTTTATAATTTTCAAATGACTCGTCCCCATCCTATTGAAGAAATACCGAAGCAATTTCAATTCACGCTGAAGCTAGAAGTTTCATAAAAACATCAAATCGACTTTCTGACAGCTGTTGTTAATAATCCGTAACAAACAACAAAAACGGTAGCCACGGATTGTGGCGTATTTACGACCACTGTGCAAAAATATCTTTGAAAACATAAATTTCACTCATTTAAAATAAAAATACTGCATCAATTAACAGAATACGATCCGGATAGTTTCTGAGGTCATGTCTGACCGCATAACCCAAAATCCCGGTTACATTAACTCTTTTTGTTTTATTGATGAAAGTACGTTTTTTCAAAATGGAACAGTAAATAGACAGACTGTGTGTTATTGGTCAGACATAAATCCGCACGTTTTTCGAGAGTGTCATACTGAAACTCCAGAGATCAACGTATTGGCTAGTATTTTGGGTCACCATATCATAGGTCCAATATTTATGGCAGAAAATGTAACTAGGCAACTGTATTCGAATATACTTCTAAATCGAATTCATCACAGTATTCAAGAAGTAGTTGGGGCAAAAACCAAATGAATTTACCATGGATGTCACCTTTCAACAAGATGATGCACCCTGTCACTACTACAGACCTGTCCGGAAATGGCTTAACGAGATTTTTTCGGGACGGTGGATAAGCCAAAGTGGCCACATTGAATGGTCAACTAGGTCACCCGATATGACACCTATGGACTTTTTTCTGTGGGGGTACATAGAATCTAAGGTATGCGTCACGCAGCCATAGTCACACCAGGAACTTATGGATCGAATAACAGATGTGTGTTACAGTATTACCCCGGAAACATTTATTAACGTTCAACTTCTCAAAAATTCCTTAGTTTATTTAGCTTCCAACAACGGATTTTTGAAAATTTCTTTCTTGTTGTGGACAAAGATGTGATTTATCTGCTATTCGTTCCAAATGAATTCCAAAACAGACTTTTTTTCTGTCAAGAAGTGAACGGTGAACATTTCGAGCACTTGTTAAAATAGTTGAAATTGTTACTGTAAATTTTGTTGCAATTGAAAGTTANTTAATTTATTTTCAACATATTTGAAAAAAAATTCAAACGCTCGCTTGTCAGTTTGAAACGGCTCGGCCGATTTTCACGAATACAGCGCAATACTCGCAAGCATTCAAAACAAAAAAAAAGTTGATGGTGCTCTCTTGACACTGGGCCACGTGACAACAGTCATTCTTATGCCAAAGAGTAGTAAAAGTAGTAACATTTTACCTGAATTCTACTAGACTTCGATAGTTTGTTCTGTTCAAAAGTTAAGGGGGGGAGGACTTTTCACATCCTCACTGTATAGTAAATTGTAAACAACAACGAGCTACTTGGTAGTGCGCTCGAGTCACGACCAGAAGGTCGTGAGTTCGATTCCAGCTTGGACCAGATATTTTTCTCAAGAGAATTTATCTAGTTGAAGCTGGGATGATTCTGCAACATTATATGGCTGACGGATTGCGAATAGCAATGATGCTGACTAGACGGCTAGGGGAATTATTAACATTGCGTACCCAGGACACGAGGCTAATGACCGATGTAGTCGATGCCGATGACATCCGAAAATAAAACGAGCTACTGTTCAGAAATGTCTTGGTGACTGGAAGTAACCATGGTGCAGAAATTGATGACTATAGAAAAAATACCAGTACTTTTAGAGGAATAGCAGATAAATCACATCTTTGTCCACAACAAAAAGTTGTAGAAATTTTCAAAAATCCGTTGTTGAAACCTAAATAAACTAAAGAAATAGAAGGAATTTTTGAGAAGTTGAACGTAAAAGTAACCTCCAAAACTGTTTGTTCACTTCAACAAATGTTAGATTAGGCTGAGCTAGGTTAGGAGAATGATGAACTACCGTAGATGTTCAATGCTTTCGAAAGTCTGGAAATAGCAAAGTATGGCATAAGAACTGTGAATATTGACAAAAACCCTATTTTGAAATCTTTGATGTGTCTCTGAAAGTTTATCTTGTTGGAAATATAGACTAGTTTGAGAATGAAGAAACAGTATAATTCATTTCCTGATGACGTCAACTTGATTGGTGAAACGCTCGTCGATAAGAGTGTGCAGTTCTGATGTTTCGAAACACTCCTCCTTTCGGATTGATTCCACATCGGAGGTTTCAGTATTGAATATTGAGTTTGTGGGGTGGGTATTTATCACCATTTTCCCCTCATGAATCCGCATGCAGCAGGATTCGAATTTTATGACAAAATACACCAAGAACAATGAGTTCTATATAAACTCATTCAAAATGACTGTAGTAGCACTCATCAAGACCATCAAGATAAGGAAAATCGACCTCTACAGCTACCAAGTGAAGAGATGCAACTATCAGAGAAGGTTAAATATCAGGGAGTGATACTAAATCTCGACATATTAAAATGGAATATGGAGGTGGAAGTTACACAAGGCAGACATACTTGTGGAAAGCCATCTGAACTGGACAGGATATATTCTGGCTATACCCTATAGTCCTTACAACCATGATAAGATATGCGTCTTTGTTGTTCAAAGAAGAAACAAACTCAACAGGGTTACAAGACTCACTTGTTTGTGAATAACGTGAACAAATAAAATCACACCAACAGTTGTATTGGATCCTCCTTTACGTCTTGCAATAATAACCAGCTATACTGTCATCAAAATCTACAAATCTACAAATTAGTATAGGGACAAGGAACTATCCTTGAGAGTGATAGTAAATCAAATTCAACAATCGATCTGTTTCAGAAATTTTCAAAAATAGAGTTAATTCCGGTAATGATTAAGTTATGCGTTACTTTATGGGCGTACTATATCCTGCATTTCAAATTTTGCTTCAACCCTGAGACTGTCTAGTGTTCGTATTTCACCTCAGTCAACATTATCCATCCTGGCAGTTACTATCAGCAAAATGATGAACATATTAGAATGTAGAAGGAAGAGTTGCAGAATCTTGGTTTTCATTTTTTGTCATGAGTTAATTCACTCCTCAACAGTACTTGAATCGCAATATTCAATATACCTTGTTATCATTAATTTTTTTTCAGTGTGCAGAAGATAACAATATCAGTTGGGATGACATACAAAACTGTTTAAAATCCGGAAAAGCCGATGAGTTGCTTGCTGCAAATGGCAAAAAAACGTATTCTTTGAAACCAAAACTGGCTCACGTGCCGACAGTAGTATTGGACAACAATTTTCAAGAAATACTCAGCACTATCGCCAGAAATTCCTTCGAGAGTTTCGTAAACTTCATCTGGGATGACACTAAATGTTATTGGTGCAATAAATAGCAATTTTATGTTTAAATTTATTTTCGGAGGTTTCCAGTTGAATTGCAGTAAATAAACTTTTTGAAGATTATGTTTCTCAGTTGAATAGTTCAGGTATCCAATAATTTTTCCGATAAAGGTTGGTTGGAGAATATGATACATTTTTTCTAAAAAAAAAACAATAGTTTTCTTGCCGACGTTTCGAATTTTATTGAATTCTTCTTCAGGGCTCTGTAACAATGAATTTTCATGAATATACGTTTTTTCTTTGAAAACCTAACTTCCACATTCAAAATTGACTATTTTGAGTTGAGCTGACAAATCTCAATTCGACGTGAGAATATATATTGAATTCACGAATTCACACGTTAGCAGAGAAAAATTGATGCAGCTTCAAGCCAGTTTTTGACTCCAATAAACTTGGACTAGTAATTTCTGAAAACCTGGACCTTGTGATTTCTGAAAAGACATCTCTAGAGGGTTGTCCATGAAGCTTTGTTTTTTTTCTTTCGAAATAATTGATTAGTAACAAGTTACCAATTTTGAGTATGTCAATATATTCGAATATATACAGAAATAGTAGAGGCTGATTTCCTTTTTCAATCAACACGCTTTTATTAGCTTTTCACTCTTATGTTTGCTTGTAACCGACTTCTTTGCACTCGATTTTGACTAACTTTAAACGGACGGATTTTTCAAAAACGTTTCACACTTATCAAGAATTGGTGACAATACAATAATTTCATAAGTTTATCTCATTATTCTGATCACGATCGCCAGAAAGCTCTGTTACGCCAGCGAAGCAAAGTACGAAAATCGCATTTACAAAATGACAAAATTAGGTACTTTTTAGGTGCTTTTTAGGTACCGAAGTCAAAAATTATGCTCTGTAACTTACACCGCAACTCAATACTCAAAGTTGCGTTACTAGCAGTATGTGATGCTAGCAAAGCAATGAAAATATTAATGAAATAATGAATGTTAAGGAAACACATAAGGTGCTAATTAAGGGCTAAACGGTTAGGATCGTAAAATTTTCCAATTAATAAACAGAAGCTTCCAATTTCGCTAAACAACATATCTAAGGATCTGGTCTCTCGAAAAACTTACGGGTGACAAAACCACGTGCACCAAGTAAAAAAAAAACGCCCACACATCAACGATAACTGTCTTTAACTGGCGCGTATTCAAACACCTTCCAATAGATGCGAGCAACGCTGGTATTAACCGAACGGATTCCGAAATTTTACGAATGTACCAACCAACCCCTGTGCCCAACCAACCCCGGTCTCCCCTACACATATGGCTGACATTCAAATCATTGGATACTCTTCGTTTTCAATCGCTAGATTATAAATGAATAGAAGTGGAGATTCCAACCATTCAGAACATGCTTTCATTACATATTGTGGTGTATGGTCACCTCCAGCAGATTTATCGTTTATTCACTCGAATTTATAGTTTTAAAGGGTACTAGGGGTGTATGCCCATGTGAATGCTCACTCCTGATTGAACTGCACTTTTGCTGTCCACGTTGTGGACAGGTAAGTTACTAGGAGGATGTCAATCGGAGTGGTATTTTCGTCCATTTTTGGGCATCTTGAGTATTGGTAAACATGTTCAGTTGACCTGTATACCTTATTTTTTACTGTAGAAATTATTGGGATGATATATAGATCTCAATGAAATCTGAAGGAATGCGTGACAATGCCTTGAATTGAACAGGACAGCAGATTTTTCGTATTAACGTGGTTCAAGCTATTCATTTTGCCTGGTATGCCTTTCCAAAAATCTGGGAACCGATCCATTATCTTGTCTAAATGTTAATGTTAAAGGTAAATGCAGTCAAGCTGCTGGAAAATAATTCCATGAAAATCAAAAAATAAATAGATAAGTACTCCTTGATCATTCCCTTATTGATTTCAATTTAAGAGCCACCGGTATACAGCTGTTTCAGCCTATTGGGCATCGTCAGTACCAGGCAGGCGGTCGTCGATTGTAGACAAAATATAACAAGATGTGCCTTGAATCTGCAACTAAACATTTCTTCATCTCATACAGTTATCTCCAAAGGTTTGTTTTCTTTGGTCTCAATAATTTCTCCTGTTGTAGCTGAAGAAAATAAGTAATTTCGACACACGAAAAGAATAGGTAATTTCGACACACGAAGAGAATAAGAAGTAATATCATCAATTTGATAACAACAAGCAACCTGATGGAAACCATTCAAATATATGTTCAAGAGGAAGAGGAAGAGATTCCTTTTGAAGATTATCACTTGGTGATCGAGGTGTTAAAATAAAAGTTTGGTGTTGGAATAAACTGTAGTAATATTCATGTGTTATTATTTCATCCAATTTTGAATAGTTTGAAAACAGGATGGATGGAAACTGTGAAAAGATACAGTCGATACGATTTGTTACTCCACGTAGCTCCTGACATACCTACTAATATTTGAAATTTTATCTACTTCCATTTTGTAATTAGCTAACAATGTTTTGAAAAATATCAATTTCTTCATCACATTACATATTTCTTGTGGGGCACACTCGTTTTTACTTTCCAAGTTCAGGCTTTTGTTAGTGGTTAGGTACTACTAACAGGTATTAGCTAGGCCACTAGCATATAAAAACACCAAAATAGTAGTGAAACTCAGTCATGATGATCTCTTAAGGACGCTAACTTGGTGAGCGTCGAGAGGCTGTAATTATGTTCTGGTGTTGGTAAAGTCTTTTCAATAGATTCATTTCACGCCAGATGTTCCAATACGAACTATCAAACATCAAATATATCCTTAGATGATACACCTGAATAAAATATAGTTCAATATTGTGTATCCTATTTTCAATCTCTCATATCTCAGTTGTTGATTCAATTCACATTAATTTTGAAAAGTTTGAAGTGCGAAAATTCTACGATTTGATTATTAGAAAATACTGATCAAACTAGGGTGCTGTTTAACAGAGGTTGATGGATTTCATGGTTCATGGATTTCTATGGCTTCTCGTACAAGCCGACTGTGGTATCCATGATCGGGTGCAAGTAGTTTCACATCTTCAAACAGTATCGTATGATCTCTTTCACTGAATAGTTTCTCCGATGTTTATTCAGCTTTGTACCCATGGATATTTTGATGGTACCGATATAAACTTTTCCGCAGGTGACGATATACCCCCGCAGCTGATTGTGGATCTCTTTTGTCTTCCGGAGATCTCAGGCTTTGTTGTATTTTACTGGTGGGGTTGAACACTGTTTTCATGTTATGCTTCCTTAATATTTTTCCGATTATGTCTGTAACCCTAGGGATGTATGGTAGAAATGCACGTGCAACCGTTTGAGTTTCCTCCATATTTCGACTTGTGGAAGTCTTCAGTTTCGTGGCCTTGTTGATCTTGGTTACATCCATTCGATCTTAAAGCCACTTCAAGATGCTCCAATTCTTCTTGTAGATGTATCGGTTCATATATTTTACGGGTACGTTCTGTCAATGTGTTGATAATTCCCTGCTTTTCACTCGGATGGTGGTCCAAAAGTGCATGCAGATATCTGTCCGTATGTGTCGGTTTTCGGTACACTTTGTGTGTCAGTCTTGTGCCACGCCTCTCAACGAATACATCTAGAAAACATGGAAATTCTCATAAACCTTGAATTGAACATGTGCCTCAGTTCATTTATATTTTCATCTAACTGCATCTTCTACATGAGGTGACGAAGATAACAAATTTATTGGTTTCTTCTTGTGATGCGTAATTGAATTTTGAAACTTTTTTGTTGAAATTGAGTATGACATAAGTTACGTTATTTGAAAATCAGTTCAATTCGAATATTATTCAAAAAATATGGCAGTGAAACGGGCGTGGTCATATTAGAAGGAGGACACAATGTATATAATTGTACGTGATGTCGATATCAAGGACAGTTACGTAAGTGACGCGTAAAATGAATCCATTGAAAACAGGTTCTATAAGTCATAAGCTATAAGTCATAATGATCTTCTGAAGACGTTAACTTGGTTAGCAAAACGCATGTTGGGAGCTCGTAATTTTTGTTCTGGTGTTGCGTAAGTATTTTCAATAGATACAGTGACGTAACTCGCCCGTTTCCCAAATAATATTACACCTCTCGATATTTGATATGATTTAACCTTGTTTTGAAGTGCTCAAAGCGGTTGATTCATTCTGATTTATTTATACGATTAGATAAACCTATAAAAGACGTCGATTGAGATGAAAGTACTTTTATCAGCTGTGGTGTCCATCAATTTACGGTTTGAAAAATTGAAGTGTTGAAATGAAGTGGTGGTTTGTATCATTATTGTCGGCACTGCTTGTTTTTGAGAATCATGTGAGTATTTTACGGATTTCGATCCCATGAAAATGGGCCTGAGGCCATTCCGTGTACATATAATGTTATAGAATATGCACTATATGCAAATTCAGAAAATATAATTCGAAAAGAATCTAATTATTTCAATTTCAATAAATCCTTCTTTAATACTGATTTCGATTCATATATTCGGAAGAGGTTAGGTCATAGACTTTGGCACTGTTACGTAATCTTTGAAAGAGAAAAGTCTGTAAATTCTGTGAAGAGCAATAACTTGATCAATTGACTACTCATTTATTTGTTGATGAAAATAAATCTATAGCAGATCATGATGAGCGTAAAAGGAAACTTGATCCTTCAGTTGTTTGATTTCATTCAGAGTAATTCACCATATGAATTGAGTGGTGCTAGCTAACAAATAAGATTGAAATTTGAAACAATTCAGTTGAACGGAAACGAGGAAAGAATATTGTTAGGCAAATGATATAATAAACAAAATTGCCAACTTTAAAAACTCAATCGGTTTATTACATTACACGAGCTGTCGCGAGATTTATCTACATAAAAACATGACTGTGTTCTTAGAATAACCTATGTCAAAATCAAGTTACATATTGTATCGTTGTTTCTATCCGATGACCTTTTAAATCATCTGAATTTTGTAATACTATGGATTGATAGGTTCGATTCGATTCAATGTTCCTTTTCTTTCCTTTAGTTCTTGTAAAAAAGATGTTACTTAAAAATATAATTTCAATATCAAATTATTTTTTTTCATTAATATCAATTTTTTATTTCTGTATGTACATATTATTTTTCGTATTCGTTACAACAAACCCTTTCATTTGATACCCACATCATAGGGCTGCATAAATGACTAATCCGCCATCTCGAGTAGTCTGCCATACTGGATTCAGAGTTATTTTTTGTATCATTTTCAGAAAACCCTTTTATTCGACAGTGATGTCATGAGAGTGTATGAAATATTTGTCTGCCATCTTGGGCGATCCGCCATGTTTGAGTATAGAATGGTATCATTCAACAATTATAATTAAAGCATTATTAAATGAACAAACGTATATGCAAAATTTCAGTTTGATTGATTGGGAATATCTCCTAAGAAATTTAGTTGCAAAATTTGACCCAGTACGAAGTGTTAATCCAAGTAGATGGTTTACGTAAAAATTACATAAGCCTGGAATGATTTGCTTTTCTGGAAGTATCCTTCAAAAGTTTGTCAATGGAAAACTGGATTTTTTTTTCTTTGTTTGATAAACCATTACTGATGTAACGGTTCAAAGAGAATGAATATATGTGTTTCATCAAATACCCCGGTCGCTTTTTTCTTCTTATCAATACAAACTACACGAATGCATTCTTATTCTATTATAAACACCCATGAAAGAAATATTTCACAAAGGTTCGTGTTAATGAAACGACAAGAAAACTTTCATGCACAACCTTAGATCTATTTCACATGAGGAGCTTCACGTCTTTTGCTCCTATACGGAAGCTTTTATCACTCCTACTTAACGCCCATTCACACCGGAAGTCTTTTAAGTTCCTGGCTCCTTGAGCTCAGTGGAGCTCTTGCCATATACCTTTTCTACCGTCGACACAAACCTCAACGACAGAAATGTCAACGATCACTGATAGATAGCTCCACATCGTAATCTGTTTTGATAACTAGTATGCATGAACTAGGGAGAGCCGTTTCCACTTCTCTTGTGGAAGCCCTCACTCATTCTTCTGTATTTTGAGGAGGAGATGTGGCTTCAAGGCTCAAGGTGAAAAAGACGTGGCGGCTCTCGAATTCCGTCTGAAAACTCCATTGGTGGTGTTGCATTTTGGCGCCAAGAGTATTCCCCTTCTTTGGGAGCGAGAGATGTGAAGCTCCCCGTGTGAAAGAAGTCTTAGGGATCTTTCACACGTGGAGCTTTATGTCTCTCGCTCCTATACGGAAACGTTCATCACTTCTACCTACCGTCTATTCACACCGAAATCCTTTTTCGGTTCCTGACTCCTTGAGCTCGGTCGTAGAATGGATAGCTGTTGCCAAATGCCTTCTCTGCCGTCGATACAAACTTCGAAGACAGAAACGCCAACGATCAGAAATATTTTGGATACGTCCAATCAACCAAAAACGGGAATGAATGAAGTGGCGAAACCTACGTTGGTTATCTTGCAGACTCACACACAACTTTTTACGACCTCATTCACTTCCTTAAACATGTCGAGACTTTTATTACAGAGTGGGTTGGTTGCAGACAGCATTAATTAATAGCTCCCCACTCATCCTTTTGCATTTTGAGGAGGAGGAGACGTGGCTCCCCGGCTCGAGGTGCAAGAGACGTGAGAGCTCTCATCTCCCAAGGCATAGTGACTCCCGCTCTCTGAAAGCCCCACTGGACTCGGTGCATTTTGGCGCTAAGAGCCTTCTCCTCTTTTGAGAGGGAGAGACGTGGAGCTCCCGTGTGAAAGAAGTCTTAGGACTTTGTCACACGAGAGCATTTATCACTCTTACCTTTCGCCCATCCACACCGGAAGCCTTTTTCAGTTCCTGGCTGCTTGAGCTCAGTTGCATAATGGATCGCACGCGAGTTGGTGCCAAATATATTCTCTACCATCAACAGAAACGCCAACGATCAGGAATGTTTTGTATACTTCCAAATAACTAAAAACGGGGTTGGATAAAGTTGCAAAACCTACGTTGAGCACCTTGCAGACTTCCATCCAACTTTTTACAACTTCTTGAGGTCCTTATACATGTCGAGACTTTCATCGCAGAGTGGGTCGGTTGCAAACAGCACTGATTGATAGCTCCACATCGTAATCTGCCAGGATGACTAGTCTAAAGAGTCAACTAGGGAGAGGCGTTTTCATTCAACTTGTGAGAGCTCCACTCAACCTTTTGCATTTTGAGGAGGAGACGTGGCTCCTTAGCTCGAGGTGCAATATACATGAGAGCCACGTCTCCCGAGACGTGGCGGCTCCCGCTATTCGTCTGAAAGCTCCATTGGACTCGTTGCATTTTGGCGCTGAAAGCCTTCCTCTCTCTCGGAGGCGCAAGACGTGAAGCTCCCCGTGTGAAAGATCTTAGGTTTACAATAAGCTCTCACAATCTTCATTACTCAATATCTAAGGCAACCTCTGCATTTATTCATTGTACTTTTTTGCATATAAATGTGTGATTTTCAACTGTAATTAATCTTGTATTGTAGAAACAGGCAACCATTTAAAAACATCCATACAGCTAGTTGATTTTTTGTCAGTCAGAACAGATCTGAACATAATGTTTCGATCTGTGTGCAGTTTATACGTCTGTATTGAACAGAATGAGTCATATATCGAACCTTTCATAAGATAAAATTTCAATTAATGAGATAAAATAATATATCTTGATTCAATAGGTACTTATTTTATGGGAGGGTTGAGGTTACAATGATCCGTGATAAGTTTGAGAACGGACACAAAGTATGTTCAACGATTATTACATCACCTCATGTAACATAACAGCGATGACTGATTTGATCATTTCCAACTGTTCGTCATGATGATTGCTTATTCAAAAAACATCATTTCAATCACGTATCGACAACCACCAAGCATTGACCACTTCGACGATATTTTCTGAAATATAATTTCTATTTGAAATTTTTTACGTTTTTCTAGGCAAAAAATTTGACCGTCTCAGTCTACTATGAATGTCTCTGTCCGCATTCTGTAGATTTCTTCAAAGATCAGCTCTCCCCAGGTTATAAGGTACTGAAAGATAAGGTGAAAGTGGACTTGATACCTTTTGGAAAAGCAAATGTGAGTAGTAATGTCCTGCTCCCCTCCTTCCTTGCTACCCAAAAGACATATATACATATATACATATTCAGGATAATTCGTGACAATATACTATATGAAGAACAGTATTTTGGAGTTGCAGTCACTTCCATCAAAAAAGAAATGTTTCATGTTTTGTAGAGATACTAATTTTCTTTCTCGATCTCGCGTTAGTAAGTAGTTCCGTTTGTGATATAAAACATATTGTTAATGAATGTATTACAGTTGTACTGAGGAAGGTGGTAAGCATTACCGAAAGCTTGACAAAAAACAAAGAGTTTCCTTTGAATCGCCCTCAAAACCTGGCTGCAACCCCAAAATACTGTTCTTCACATACATACATATATACATATTAACGGGGTGTCTCAGTCAGAAAATCAAAAATCAAAACTCTGCTCTACTTTGCCATGCTTTCGCTTCTAATGGGAAGCTTGTTCGGGGCATTAAAAAACAATGAATTGAATGAATTAAATCGACGAAAAAAAATTCATTGATGCTTAACTTCCTTTCGTCGATTTATATATTCAATTCGTTGTGTTTTACTCATTTTTACTGCCCTGAAATAAATTCGTGGACAGAACACTCAGAAAATGGGGGCAAACCGCGGATTCGTGTTTCTGGCTATTAGCCTCATCAGCGCGGTGCAGCCAATTGGTGATGTTAGATGATGCCTGGAAATGCTACGTCCCTAATTAAAACCACTAATGTGCGGTTAGCTCCAGTTGGTGACACCGTGCAAATAGCTTCAAATCCTTTTTGTAACTTACATTTAATATTAATCGAAAACAATTTTTTTTTCAGAAAAGATGAATTTTATCAAAGAAACCTTCTGGTTTTTCAATTCTCCTTCATCATATAGAATGAAGTAGACATTTATAAAGGCACTTTCTATACAATGATATTGAAGTGGAAATCTGAATGTTTTTGTCACTTTCAGAGTATTGTTATAATTGTTTCGACCTTGGAAAAATATAAAAAAAATATTTTGTACTGTTTCTTGGGTTTATAACCTTCCACAATCTGAAAAAATTAAAGATGTATCAATAGAGAACCCCGAAAAGATACTGCAAAAGATAAACTACTGGAAAATCCAGTTAGTTAGCAACTTGTCATATTCATAAATTTCGCCTACAAATTGAAAAAAGTCAATTGAAAAAATTTATTATTTATACTTAGCTTTTTCGAGATGTTAACGTTCCGGAAAACAATTCTTTTCCAAACATATTTAAATAACACTTTATTGTGAGATTTTCACTAAACGATATCACAAAAACGCAACACGTGTTTTGCCATACAATGGCTTCTTCGGGATTATCTTTAGTATTTTACGTTTTCAAAATCTGTATTCACTAGGGGAATCTCTCCTCAAACAGTGAATACAGGTTTTGAAAACGGAAAAGGCTTGTTTTCCGAAACGTTCACCACTCAAAAAAGCTAAGTATCCACCTTTAATTTTTTCAGTTGATTAATTTCTATTTGTAGGTAAAATTTATGAAATTGACAAGTTACTGACTAATTGGACCGTCCTGTAGTTTATATCGCGCAGTAACTTTTCGGTGTTAACTTTTCAGTTTGCCCTTTACTACACTTCGACAGATTCTCCATTGATTTATGATTAATTTTTTCAGATTGTGGAAGGTTATAAACCCAAAAAACAGTATAAAATATCGAGTCCTCTATAAAAAATGTTGTTTAGAGAATATGAATAGAAATATTCCAATGAACAATTTTTTTCTTAACTGAATGTCTTTTTTCCAGATTACGAAGGAAGGTGATAAATATATTTTCACTTGTCAGCATCAAGAAGCTGAATGTTATGGAAATAAAGTGCATGCCTGTGCTTTGAATTTGGCTCTTGGTGACTATGGTATACAATTTGCGATGTGTGCTATGGCATCTCCTAATGCTACTGATGACAAATATCTGACAAAAGTAGGTCAACTATGAGAGTATTTACTTTTGGGATCTATAATCGAATTGAAAAAGAAGGTTTAGTCAACGTAACATCTTCATGAAGCAAAACTGATATGACGATAATCATAAAAGAGGAAGAAATTACTTTCTAAAATTATCAAATTAGAAATTGGTTCACATCAATCCACAAAAAGTAGAACGTGATTTCATCCTTCAGTATTTATATGAAGACTAGCGGACCCGGCGAACGTCGTTTCGTTTAACAGTCAATAAATCAAATCAACTAGTGGTAATTAGACAAAAGTTTTTTCATTAATTTAATTGACAAAGACAAATACAAAAATACAAGAATCATAAAAATTGGTCCAGCTGTTCTTGAGTTCTTTTTTTATTAGTATTACAATTTTTATTGATGAAATATTATATTTGAATACTTATATCATCGTATTCTCGACGAAGACAAATCCAAGAAGACAAAAATCATAAAAATATGTCCAGCCGTTTTTAGGTTCTTTTATTATTATTATATCATATTTCAATACTCATTAGTCCATTCCCGAAGAAAACAAATCAAAAAATACAAAAATTATTAAAATTGGTCCAACTATTCTTCAGTTCTTTCATTATTATTATCATTATATTGTATTATATACACATATACGTTTAAAACAGATAATACTCATCCTCACCCGAGTCTGATATATTCTCCATGAATCTGAATGACCTATATTCAAACAATCAAAAGTTTTTCATTCACTTGTTTCTGGATCTTTTTTTCATTATGAGTATAGTTCTGTTTATCGTTCCGTAAATGGGTAACTATTGGACAATGAAGCTATTATTATTATTAGTATTGTTTTCTACTGAATAAACATATATAACTGTATTTTTCAGTGTGCAGCTGATAACTACATTAGTTGGGAAGAAATACAAAAATGCATGGAATCAGGACAAGGTGATCAACTGCTAGTTGATTATGGAAATAGAACTCATTCTTTGAAACCAAAATTAACGGGCGTTCCGACAGTAACATTTGATAATGAATACATTGAGACTCTCAACAAAATCTCTAAAAATAATTTAGTGGATATTGTGGACTTCCTGCTTGTGGACAGCCAATGCAAACCGAAGAATGCAGCATTAGGGTTACATTCAACGACGCTTTTATTTATGTTCAGTTTAATTTTGGTAATGAAAGCGTTGTAGGATTCATTTTAGATTGTAATTCTACTCTTTTTGTTAAATTGTAAAATCATGTCAAATCCAAATTTCATAATATATTCAAACTATTAGGATGTTGCATTTCATTAGTTCGGACTTCTATTGTCTAGTATGATACGAATTGATTCGAAATCCCTGAAAGAATCTGTAAAAAAATAAAAAATAGAAAGGTTGGCTGAGAAAATAACAATTATATTAGGCCAAAAAACAGAAATCAGAAGTGAAATACAAGTAACAACCAAAAAATCAACAAATGAAATATTAACACGAAATTGAAATTAAAAAAATTATTAACAAAAAATTAAAATTACAAATTAAAAAATTCCAAACCAAGTTAATTCACCATTGTTAGTATTCACAATCGTCTTCAGGTGATAACTGGACTTATTTCTCCGAGATCTGACTATTGATAGGT